CCATATTCCACTGTGCATGTGTACCACATTTTCTGTCATTGGACATCTGAGTTTCTTTTGTATCTTGGCTATTGTATTAACTGCTGCAATGAATATATATATATATATGCCTTTTTAAATTAGTGTTTTTCTTAATTGGCACGTAGATGCCAAGAGGTGGGATTGCTAGGTCTTATGGGAGCTCAATTCTATTCTTTCTATTTTGAAAAATCCCCATTCTCTCTTCCATAGAGGTTGAACTAAACAACATTCCACCAAGAATAAATAAGAATTCCTTTCCGATTGCATTCATCTGGGGAACATAAAGTAACAAAATAGGAGACTAACACCCAAGAATGGCCGAGATTAGTACCAGGAATTTTACTCCATGGCTTGGAGGCCAGACACACATGCTAGGGGAAAAGGCAGCTCAGATAGAGAAGGGAGCACCAAATGAAGGGTGTTGGGAGGATCCTCCCAGGATGGGAGAAGCATGCTGAAAGTAGACTACAGACCGAACATGATTGCCACTCAATGCCTCTTTTCCAAACCACAGCACCCAAAAGGAGAGAGACAATAAAAGGGAATGCCCTGCCACAGAGGCAGGGTGGGATGGGGGGTGGGGGGTGAAAGGGACACTGTGATCTGTGGTGGTGGGAAATGGGCACCGGTGGAGGGATGGGTACTCAATCATTGTATAATTAAAACTCAAGCACGAAAATTTATAAGTCTACAACTGTACCTCATGGTGTCTCACTAATAAAAATTAAAAAAAAAAAGAAAAAGAATTCCTTTTCACCACAGTTGCACCAACATAGATTGCTTCTAGTCTTTTCGGTATATTCTATATCTACTTTCTCAACTATTTTTTTAAATTTTTTTTATTAAAAATTTTTTTTAATAGTGAGACATCATGAGGTACAGTTGCAGACTTACAAATCTTTATGCTTGGGTTTCAATTATACAATGATCAAATACTATCACTTCAGCAGTGCCCACTTCCCACCACCATGGATCCCAGTATCCCTCCCACCCCCCATCCCCCCCCCCATCCCACCCTGGCTCTGTGGCAGGGCATTCCCCTCTGTTCTCTCTCTCCTTTTGGGTGTTGTGGTTTGCAAAAGAAACATTGAGTGGCAATCATGTTTGGTCTATAGTCTACTTTCAGCACGCTTCTCCCATTCTGGGAGGGTCCTCCCAACCCCTTTATTTGGTGCTCCCCTCTTTATCTGAGCTCCCTTTTCCCTAATATGTGTGTTTGACCTCCAAGTCATGGAGTAGAATTCCTGGTACTATCAACTAGTTTTAAACATTGAAAGAGAAATCCTTATGTCTTCCCCATCTAGTTGCTGAAAGAAGCTCCAAACTTTGGCTTCCCTGTGCTAAACCCCAATGTTTACTCTAGTTTTCCAGGCTATTTCTGAGATCTTGGGAACCTCTAGCTTCCCAAAACCATTCATCTAAGACAAATGGGAGATTTATATTCTGGGTCTTGGGTAGTTCTGAGATAACAGAATGTCAGCATGCAGTAACAGACAGAGTTATCAAGGCTGTCCTGAGGAAGAAGTCAGACAAGTATGAATGCTTTAGTTCCTTCACCATTTAAGCAGATATTTCAGGATTTTATAGCACTGGCAAAACAAGTTACTTTCAAGAAGGTGATATTCAATGAAGAGACTTTTCTGGCTTGGAGTCCCTAAAGAAAAACTAATAGAAAAATAGTATATATAAATTAAACCTTAGCAATTACACTAAATGTAAGTGACTAAATGTTCTAATAAGAAAGAAATTGATTGGTAGGATGAATTTTTTTAAAAGATCCAATTATACATGTTATCTCTAACAGATATGTTAAAAGAGGAGGCCTTGCCAGTAAGAGAGGAAACCACAGTTTCCTTTTGTCAGATGTTGCATCTCTCTTCATCAACCTGACACACATCCCATCCTCAAGGCCCTTGCTCAGGGGTTCTGGAATTTCCCAGGATCATAAAACCCTTCTCTGGCGGCTAGGCTGACAGGGGAGACTAAGATAAGGGGCAATGCCCAGAGAGACTTAGACCATGAGACATCCCTGCGATTTTCTTGTGTCTTTTATAAACACTGGCCAACTGATAAGAAATGTAAGAAGTCTTTAAAACGGCCTACACAAAACTCCCATTGAACTTAGACCTATACTAAGTACTTCCCCACTTCGGGAGTTCCTTTTCTTTTCTCTTATATTTTCCAATAAACTTTTCTACTTTCCAACTCTGAGCATCTTTATTTCTCAATATATTCACTCTTTTGAAAATACTAAAGAACTTGGGAACTGCACACCAACACAGAGATACACCGTCCCTGCTCCTATATCATTTGCATCAAGACTTAGGATGCTGGTGGGAGAAAGAAGCAAGGAGTTAGGGCTGGAGAGATAGCACAGCGGGTAGGACGTTTGCCTTGCACGCGGCCGACCCGGGTTCGATTCCCAGCATCCCATATGGTCCCCTGAGCACTGCCAGGAGTAACCCCTGTGCATCGCCAGGTGTGACCCAAAAAGCAAAAAAAAAAAAAAAAAAAAAAAAAGCAAGGAGTGAGGAAGGGAGGTGCTTGGATAGAGAATGAGCTACTGTCCTATGCGGCCCATCTCTATCTCCCAGGGGAAGTATCTGGGATGGGATTCAGGCTGGAAAACGTCTGCCCGGAGCATCTGTATGGCATGTGTACCAGTGTCCCCCCAGCCCTACTGGGCAGCTGGAAAGCTGCACCCGAGGTCATTTGGTCTGCGCAGTGAGAGACTTGATTCCTACCACCTGAATTTTCGGGGACCCATGGACTCTGACTGGAGTGGGATATTGCTCTTTGTGGCAAAGAAAGTCAGTCTTGATCTGTGCCCAGTTTTCCTGGGTTCGCTGTTTAACCTCAGAGAAAAGAATTTCAAAGAGAGTAGAACAGTGAAGCAGAATAGGTTTTGTTAAAGAATATGAGGAATGGGGTGTTGGAGACACAATACAGTGGGAAGGGTGCTTGCCTTGCACACAGCAAACCCAGGTTCAGTTCCCCCAAAGCCCTGACAGGAGTGATCCCTGAGCATAGAGCCAGGAATAAGTCCCGAGCACTGGCTTAAAAAAGAAATACAAGAGAGGGAGAGAGGCAGAGAAAATGTAATACATTCAAGAGAGAACAAGGGTTTCTCCAGAGAGGAGAGAGCTGAGGATACCCCAAAAATTTAAAGAAAGGAATGACATATACCACATTAAGATGCCGGTGACCCCAGAATAGGGATGCATATCACCTATCTTTGCAAAGTTGATTTTTATAAGGTTTTCTCAAACTTCCCTGTTTTGAAGCTTTCTATGAAGCTAAAAGTCTGTTGCTAGGGAGTCTTCAAGAAAAAAGAACTTTCAGTTATCATCTTTCAAATCCTTATCAGCTTTTTGTTCCTGCAAAAGCCTTTTCTCTCCTGTGGGCATTTAGCCTTCTCTGGATGATGCATTTGCTGCCAGTTTGAGGTTTTTTTTTTTTATCTTTAACCATAAAGTTGGGTAGTTCAGGAATATAAGGATTGTTCAGCACATACAATTCCATTCATGTGCTATTCTGGATAATTTTTTTCCCCCTTGGATCCCAAAAGTGGTAAGGAAGAAGACCCTGTAGCAGCAAGTAGTGGGCCAAGGACACAGATGGAAGATAAATTATCTAAGCAGAAACAGGAGGAATGGAAGGCATCTGAGGAGTCCAAAATTCAAGGCTGCATGAAAAAATTTGGGGCCAGTGAGATAGTACATGGGTTCAGACCTTGACTTGCATGAGCTGACCTCGATTCAATCCTGGACACCACATCCCAGTTCAATTGCCAGCACAGCATATGATCCCTTGTGTACCTCCAGAAGTGATTCCTGAGCAGAATTAGAGCCAACAGCAACACCCTCAACTCCCCCCTGCCCTCACTCCCTTCCCCATGAAAAAACAAAAACAAGAAAAACAAATCCTGCAAAAAGTTAACTGTTCTTTGTGTTCAAGGCAATGGTCATAATTCTATTCCTGTTTAAGCCTCCGTATTCCTTGCTTTAACTCTGCTGCCAACAGGAGTTAGAATGAAGTGAGCCTATGCTAATAGTTTGGAGCCAGTGATACCATTTTTAAAAATAAATGTGGTAAAACACAAGAGAAGAAAGGAAAAAGAAGGAAAGAAAGAAATGAAAGAAAGAGAGAATGGAAGAAAGGAAAGAAAGAAAAACCTTAATGTTTCTCATCCTCTCTCTGGTTCTCAGTTATTTCTATAGCAGCTGTGAGGTTGGTAAACCCAGTGTATAATCCTTCCAAAGCGTGCTCTTAAATGTTTGGTCTATTCCAGATTTGGTACCATCTGGGATTAGAACAACTCATTAAAAAAATAAACAAAGCTCACACAATCATCTCGATAGATCCAGAAATGGTATTTGGTAGGATTAAAGATTCAGAATTGCTGACACATTTTAACAAGTAATAAAAATAATAAGTAATAAGTAACAGTAACAAGAAGTAGGTCAGTATGTTTGTCTCTTTTTGAAGTGTGTACCTTTTCTATACAACTCTACCTCTCCTTTGGTAGTATACTTGGTGGTATGTTTCATCTCTTTTATCCTAAGTGTATCATGAATGATGCTTCAGTTTTTACTGTAGCTGCTAGAAAACATGGAGTCAATGAATATTTTCAGCCCATTTGTGCATTTTTCCCCAATTGGCCTTCAATCTGACTCCAGTTTAGATTTCCAGTTTTTTCTTTAACTTTTGCACCTCTCTCTTTTTATGTTTCAACCTAATTCTAAGTAAATGACCAGATATGGGTACACCCACCTAATTCCTGCTTGCAGCAAGATAATGTAAGCATGTAATAAACAGAACGATTTAAGTGCGTGGAGTGAATTAGTCCACGGATATAGAAACACATGTATAGTTCACTCCAGACTGATAGGTCCACACACTTCAAAACGTCGTACACAGCCCCTAGAACATTATTTTAGAAGCTTCCTTAGGAAACAGCACCAGGGGGCATAACTCACCTACCCCAGTTGTGTGATCGCCCCGGGGTCCTGTGTAGGAAGTCGGAGTTCCTCCCCTTTTTCTGTGCCAGCTGCCCCGATCACGTCTTTCCTGAGTAAATGCACATTCATCTTGTTCAAAAGTACACTCTCCAGGGGGAGATAGATGCCGCTCTGCAAGGAAACAGCAGGTGCCGTGATTGCTATCACACTGTCCCACGGCACTCTGGAAGCCCACTCTGTCTCTTTGTGTTGATCACATGCCCTTGCCTGTGGAGGGCCAGCCTCCCCCGACACAGGCTGACCTCTCCTGTGTTGGTAGCTGACTTCCACCCAGCCTTGTCTCCAGCAGAAGTTTAAACTCCACCACGGGCAAAAGTCTGGAGGCTTGTCATAATGGCAGAGCACAGTTAGAAGTTGCAATCCCAATGCATTGGAATACTTTGGGAACAAGCTTTTTCTGGCAGACCCAGGTTCAATCCCTGGCCATCCTCCTTGGTACCCCAAGCCTGCCAGGAGTCCTGGGCATTGCTGAGTGTAGCTCCCAGACAAAAAACGGTTTAAATTATTTTTAAAATAATTTTTTTTTAAAAAAGAAACAAACTCTTTCTGATCTTTGAATTGATTTGTGTGAATGAGTTTACAAAACAGTGGAAATTGGAGGTGAGTTGCCTTGACTGGAGTACGGAGAATAATAAAATTGTAAAATCTAGAATGAGTGAAACAAAGAACAACTTGAGTTACTTTGGAGGATGGGAAGAATGTGAGATAATAACACATGCGTTGAGAATCATACTTAATTGGGGCTGTGGGGGGTGGGGAGAGTGTTGGGCCAAACCTGGTGGTATTCAGGGTTTATTCCTGGCTCTGTGCTCAGGAATCGCTCTTGGCAGGTTCAGAGATCATATGGGGTACCTTGGATTCCAGGGATGGAATCCAAATTGCCCACATACAAGGCAAGCACCCACTCAATTATAATATCTCTCTGGCCCTCAAAACTTAATTTGTGTCTCACAAGTTACTTTATTGAGAGTCAATTTTATTTTTGTAATACAGGAATTTTAGAGGTTGTACCTACCTCATAAGGCTGTGAGTATGTAAAGAATGTGAAGTTTTCATAAATCTTAGCTAAATAAAATTAGGACCTGTTGTTTGCTACCTGGAACTTTATTTGTATTTATAAAAATGAATGTTCATATCTTTCAAAGCTATCTTCAACAGTTTTAATAATTATTATTATATTCATGATTACAGTACCACTTCCCAATTTTTTTGAAACGATTTTTGCATGAACTTGGTCACATCTCCTATCATAATTATTAGCAGATTTTTCTAATACACAACCAGTTTGTGACTTTTTAATGATAATTATTTTACTTTGTTTCATTTTATATACATGCATGCTAATAAAGATTCATTTTTTTAAATGTAGGGCTTTTTATCTTATTCTGAATTGCCTTTGTCTTGGCTTGCAAATTAAGAGACAAAACAAGCCATGTATTTTAATTAAACATGTAAATTTTTCTCCTGCGCCAGATTGATAACCCAATTTGTTCATCTATTGAAGAAATTAATGCATCATGATTTAGGGTAAACGATCATTGTAGAGTTAGACTTGTGATTGTGGGTATAAGAACTCATCATTTTCTCATTAGATGCAATATCCAACGCATACCACCATCTTTATATTGTCACCATCATGGATATTTGATCTATCATTCCATTTTTATCAATTACTTAGAAAATAGTTAACTTATTTTCATATAAAATTATAGTTATTGTAGTAGATGTGCAATAACCATTTTCTTAGAATTGCTTTAAAAATTGCATTTGCAAAACAATAATAACAATAGCTGTAATTACAAGAAGGAATATTTGCTTTAATTTTATTTAATTAATTAATTGGGGGGGATGGTTTGGATCATATTTTGTTGTGCTCAGAGTTTACTCCCGGCAATAGCTCTGGGACTATATGCAGGGCCAGGGATTGAACCCAGTTAGCAATACACAGGGTAAGCACCCTGCCCATTGTACTATCTCTCCAGCCTTATATTCGCTTTTAATGCACTGTTTTATGTGAGGTTCTACATCATGGAGTTTGTGTGTATTTGTGATACTTAGGTAGTTATCAATACCTGTCTTAAGTTGAGGATATGAGCTCAAATAATATCTGCAAAGTCACACAATGTATATAAACATTTCTAAATCACAAAGTTTATACACAACTCTATTCGAGGCACTTGTAGCAACACAACAAAAAACAAATCAAAACAAAAACACAAAGGCTAAAGAAACACAGCTTAAATCCTTGTGTTAAGATTTAATTTTGTCAATAGAAAGCGACAGTGCATGCCCTCTTACCTGGAGATAAGCAGCTTCCTATCTCAACAGTAATGTCATCCAGGGCGACGAGTCCACAGTCCCAAAGACTTTTGCATAGGCTCATGAAGACCACCTGAAACCCAGAAAAATTGAACTATGAATTCTATTACCTGAACTTAGGAAATTCTTAAAATCTGAAGCTTACTTTGCACAGGAAGCATCCATAAATACATTCTAGAAACTTCTTCATTGTCCATACGAACAAGAAATCACAGCGGCATATGGGTAGTTATAATTTCTATATTAGCCTAGAATTAATTCTACCCTCTCTCCGCACACCCTTTTAAAACTTTTGGGCCATACTCAGCTGTGTGCAGGTCATACCTTCAGCTCTATGCTCAAGGATTACTTCGGGTGGGACTTGGGAGATCATATGTGGTGCTGGAGAAGGCAGCCAGATTAGCCTCATGCAAGACAAGAGTCCTACCCACTGCAGTATCACCCCAGTTCCAATGGTATTATCTTCTGAAAATACACTCAAGCTTATAATGATTTATTTAATATACTAATACTGGAATTAATTGGCATTCTTTGAAAAAAATCAGAGAGGGAGACAAGAGGTTAACTCAGTGACAGAGGAAAACACATTAAGTTTTAAATATTTCCTGCAGAAAATCCAGAGTAGATACTGAGTTGGTGGTATGCCAAGCATTTTTATGAAACATTTCCAGCACAAAAAATATTGATTTTTTTTTTAAAATGACTTTCTGGCAATGTGCTTCATTCATATCATGAACAAAGTTTCAGTTATTTGCCATCTGGAGACTTATTTTCCATTTCTAAAGAAATGATCTATGTCCTGGATGGTACTGCTAATAAAAGCCCTAAATGGAATTATTTTATCAGGCCAAACATTTTTACTGCTGTATGTGAAAGGAAAACAAATTCATACCATAAATTATTAAATTTATTGTGACAGCAACAGAGAAAAAGAAATCTTGGGTTTCTTTCCATTAGGCCAATCTTAAAGTCTACTTTTCATACACATGAATAAAGAGCACTTTTCAAAACATCTATATTAGATTTCCACTTTGTGGTTTGTGAAGCTGCTTCTCATGTATAATCTAATGTTTAATTAACACAGGGTCATCCAGTTCATAGCCAATTTCTGGAAAATGTGAAGTTTAATTCAAGTGAAGCAAAGGAAATGTAGCAGAATATAGAAACATAGCAGAAGCTAACATCCAACTTAGGATAAACTACTTATTTGAAGGACTGAGGGGTTGGAGCAATAGCACAGCGGGTAGGGTGTTTGCCTTGCACGTGGCGACCCGGCCGACCCGAGTTCGATTCCTCTGCCCCTGTTGGAGAGCCCAGCAAGCTACCGAGAGTATCTCGCCCACATGGCAAAGCCTGGCAAGCTCCCCATGACGTATTTGATATGCCAAACACAGTAACAAGTCTCACAATGTTACGGGGCCCGCTCGAGCAAATCGATGAACAACGGGAGGACAGTGCTGGACAGTGCTGAGGGGGTTAGGCCACACTGGGTGTGTTGCTCAGGGCTTTCTCCTGGCTCTGTTCTTATTCCTGGCTATATGTTCAGGGGTCACTCCTGGTAGTGACCTGGAGACCAGATGGGGATCAAATTCGAGTTGCCCATGTGCAAGTTAAGGCTAGCACCTTAACTTCTGTACTATCTCTTCAGCCCTTTTTTTTGGGAGATGGGAAGAATATTTTATTTTTTAAAAAAGCTTATTCATTCAGTTGATTATATTTTCAACTTATTTGTATTATTAATGGGATTATTTTATCAGTGGTGATCAGAATTACCAGAATATAGAATCTATTTTAAAAGAAATTTAAAAATAATATAATTGCTTTATGGCAGAATCTTCTGCCCCTGCGCCTGACTGTCCTCATCAAGGCCCCTTGGAGGGGGCGGGTTGGGTCTCCCTCCCTGCCCCGAGCAGAGCCCAGGCAGCTGAAGACCTCTGGAACCCAGCCACAGCCATGCTTGAGACCACTCTCCACACATGAAGCCTCGCGCATGAAGGAATGGCAGAGGAACCCAGGCGTGTGGGATCCGGGGCTGAGATCTCCAAGGCTGCTCAGATCAGGACTGGGCATCCTCCACCCAGATCCCCCATCTTCCAGTAGCTAGACAGTTACACCCACCAACTGCCCCCCGGCGCATGTAATCTCATCAATGACCAAGATCCAGAGAGTATAAAACCAAGTTCCCGAATGCGGCCGTGCAACCTCTTGTCGTCTAGTTCTGGCTCTCAGATAACCCGACAGGCTACTGAGAGTATCCTGCCCACACAGCAGAGTCTGGCAAGCTCCCCATGGCATATCTGATATGCCAAAACCCAGTAACAATGATGGGTCTCATTCCCCTGACGCTGAAAAAACCTCCAATGTGGCACTTGCTAAAATCTCCGGGCTAGGATGAATGGAGACGTTACTGGTGCCTGCTTGAGGAAATCGATGAACAACGGGTTGACAGTGATACAGTGATGCAGTGATTTCTTTATAATCAGTACAGAATGTTATAGATAAGACCATCAGAAAAACTACTAATTAGAAGATACATAAAAGTTTGCTTGGCTGTATTTACATTACTTAAATTATGCAAAATGATTGCCGGGAGATGTAGGAAACATAACCATGTATATTTACCAAGAACATGATAGAATGCTTTTATAACCTTTACAATTTTTTCATTTTCACAGATTCTAGAATCTAAATATTATCAGCATATGTAAAAAGTCTTACTTGTGTGATTTATGCCTGGAAACTTATTCCTCATTTGCAAAGCAAAGTCTGTGTCATTAGCTCTGAATGCAGTTATATTTCATCATCAATTTTTACTGTTACATGGGAACAAGTAGTAATTTCTCTTATAATTTATTGAATTAATTATGCTTCAGAGAGAAAAGTCTTGACTTTCTTTCCCTTTGGCAGCTTTAAAGTCTATTTTTCACATGGAAGGTGAAAAACCATGCTTTCAAAATGAATCTGTGGCAGTGAAATGATTCATCATGTAAATCATTACTTGAGCAAGATAAACATTTGGCATGCAAATTTATTCTAAGGAAAAGAATATGAACATGATCTTAGGTATTTACTACATTTCCCTTTTTGTTGTTGTTGTTTTCTCTCCTCTTTTTTTTTCTGTTACATTTTAGAATGAACATGAAACCAAGTAAAAAGAAGCAAAAAAGGTAAACTATGCTTCCATAGTCTAAGAAACAGACTAAAATAAACTATGGTTCCATAATCTAAGAAGCATAGCTATTACAACTTATTATTAGTAGCACAAAAATTTATTTCTTTCATACTCTTAAGCCAAAAAAGCTGGCTAGAAGAGATAAAATAAGCTGCTGAGATAGTACAGGGTTTAATTAAGGTTCTTGCCTTGCATGTGAACCCCTGTCTGGTCTCCAGAACCATACATGGTACCTTGAGCATTACCAGGAGTGATCCATAAACACAGAGGCAAAAGTAAGCCCTGTGCATGGTTAGGTTAGTTCTTCTAACATTGCCCCTGTCCCAATCTCCCCAAATATATATAATATATAAAATAAGATGAAATTGTAACTAATTCATCCAAAATATATATTCAAAATCTGAAAAATTATTAAGTTGATAAGTAGACTCATGACATTAGGGGTATTCAATAGATTTTCCTTAATTTTCTGAATATTCTATAATGTTATTATATTCATAATAAAGCACGAAGGACTCCACATATTTATAATTAAGCTGTTGAAGAATGAGTATTTTCTAGGTTGACATTGTTCATTACAGTTGCCATTAGAACATAAGACAATTTGAATGAAAATTAAGAAAAATGTAAAATTCACTGCTTGTAGTCACACTAGCATATAGTGCCTACCGGACCCATAGAGTTAGTATCTAGAGGCAGTGCTGCATACAACAGATGTTTTTCTTATGTTTCTTTGAAGACATTTCTACTGGATAAAACATTCTGCCACTTTTCTTTTACGGCATTCCAAAGAATTTGTAACCTGCTACAAAGGGTTAAGTGAAATGCTAAATATGTTTTGGACCATCACACAATCACTGAGTCGTTCCCATCTTGGAACTTTTTCACTTAAAATACTGCTAGACTCTATGCTACTCTCTGTGATAAGAGATCCACAGAGTCAATCCCTCACGGACTTGATTCAAACTGTGGCCTCAAACATTAAATCTAACAATGACGTATGGATATATCAGCACATAGAAGCAGCATGATAAAGATCAGGTTGTTTAATTGAATAGAACATAACATATTTTCTATCCTGTTAATAATGTTCATGTGTTAGTTCTTATTCTTGGGCTGCTATGGTATATACTGAGAACTAGTTGAGGTGAAGAGGTCATTTGAGGGCAATGGTGATGGTCAAGTTGATAACTTGGTGCGACTGACACAAGACAAAGGGATAACCGATGATTGTGGTTCATTCTTTATCCTAATTTTTGTTTTTGAGGTACACTTGGCAGTACCTGGGGGCTACTCAATGTATTGGATGAAAAGTAACTACAACCAAGACTCCTCTACCTTGCAAAGTTATTATCCAAATATTGGGGAGTGATAAAAATATTCTGAAACAATAGCTAAAGATCCACATTTATTGCATCCAAACCAGTGCTGCAGGGGATATTCAATGCCCTCCTATAAAAAATGTCTAAAGACAAAGTGACCAACTTCTCATGGATGAGTGGTAACAGCTTCGTATCCTTAATTTCTCTAGATGTTAATGGGTTGAATTCATTGGCCTTATTTCAGAGACCCATAGATAAATCTCAAAAGAAATTAAAAGTCACGGTTAATCTCGGACCTGCACATGGTTGAACAGACTGGGGTAAATCAGAGGGGGGCGGATTGGTCTGTGCCTGCCCAAGCAGAGCCCCAACAGCCACTTGCTCCCACAATCCAAAATTGCTGACATACCCCCGACCTGACTTCACCGTCTCCAGAAGGACCTCACCAAGATATAATCTGCTGAAAATTTGGGCATGTGGATTTTGTGACTGAAATCTCCAGGGTTTCACGGGGTTGGAGTGGGCTACCTCCCCCAACTTCCCAATACACGTGGAAGCACTTGCAGTCACCCCCACGAA